AAATGAAATGCAGAATTGTGGCCACAGAGTCACTGCATGTTCCAGCAGGTAGTTCAAGGGAAAGAGCTGTACCCAGCCTGGTGATCTGTCTCTAGCAGCCAACACCTCCTTCAGGTTCTTTCAGGCAGCTATCCCACAGACTAAAAATTACAGAGCAAGGTATCCTAACCAAACCACTCAACTAAGATCAAGTCCTCCCTAGACTATGTAGAGTGCCAGACTTAAACCCACCCAGCCACTCAAAAGTTCCATTTGGAACTTTCAGACTAGCCTCTTCACAGGTTCCATGAGTCTTGTCAAGGCAGCATGTTACACCTTGTCAACACAGAAATGGGACTATATCCTGCAGTTGCTGCTGCTGCTTCAGATGCTCCTGCTGTTTGCACCATTTCACAGTACAAATATGTAGTGGGTGTTCACAGTCTTCAACATCTTAACATACAGCCACAGGTTACCATTCAACAGCCTGCTGTTCAAGGAATCTGGCACAGACTCCAGGTTGGCATCTGCCCCTGTCAAAAGTGAAAGTTCATGTTGGGGATGGCTGTTTCCTCTTACTGAAGCCATGCACACTACTCTTGCTGTTGAAGTCATTGGCATGTTGTTGGAAATGGATAATTCAGAGCTTCTTCATATGCTTGAGTATCCAGAGTCTTTCTGTATTAAAATTGATGAAGCTGTTGTTGTATTACCAGTTCATCAAGCTAAAGAGACTGGGCAGAAAACAGTTAACAGTGCCACTGGCTTTCCAACTGTTTTACATTCACCACAAAAAGAAAACTATCTTCACTGAAAATAAATATCCAAATATTGAAAACCTTAAATACTATGGGAAAAAATTATAAGGTATAAAATAAAATTTAAAAGGCAAGGAAACTTTGAACCTATGTATTGACCAAACGTCAGTTCTAGTAAACATAATGCTAGTCCTAGGTTACTTACTGATGAGAAAACAAAAAATTCCCTCCAAATATGTTTTATTACAAAATGTGGAAAAAAGAAATTTTCAGCAAAGTATAA